GCAAATTTTACATGATTTTCCAAACTATGCATCATAGGATTTTGTGGAAAACGTTGGCTAGGCCAGCATTTTCGCACTCGTATGCTCGCCCTCCCAACCTGTTCTACAATTTCCACGCCTCTTCAAACTGGCAGGGCCAAGATTTTCGCGGCCAAGACTTTGGCGGTCAGTAGACGAAATCCTCAAAGCGCAGTTCGCGACACAGTGGAAAGTTTGGAGTGCGGTTGGAAGGGCCCAATTTTTTGGAGCATAAGCGTCCGCAAATGCGGCGTGGCCAACTTTTTGCACAAGATCCTTTTGGCCACAATTGGGAAAATCTCCCACACTTTGATACAAGCTGGCAGAGCTAACTTTTTGCATCGTTCCAGTGCCAAAAAATTGTCCCCAGCCGTTTCTGTGCAATCAGCGTGCACTAGCTGAGTAAGTCAGCCGCGCTGACTCATTGTCTTTCCCTCTGACTGTCACAGCGAGGCATTTTGCGGGTGTGCTTCTAGATGGTGCACCTCTTGACAATTGCCGCAATTACAGTAGTAGGGGTGTCCTAGATTGCATCCTTTGAGTTGCTCTCCACTGCCTGGTCCGAGGCGTGCAGGGTTGCGGAGAGAGCTTGATGTTTCGGGTTCTGGGATCGGGCCACTACCTGACTGGCGGTCGCATGCCAAACTGTTCCCAAGCATCACTGAGACTGTCAAATATTGATGTTTTCGGACTTCCGGCCTGGCGGAGCCCAACATGCAAGATCAAGTCCAGGCCAGTCCCGTGAGCAGAGGGCATTTCACCATCCCGCTGCAAGGCCAGAATGGTCGCCTCGGACACGGTTCCACAGACAACGAGCTGCTTCCGAAGGCCGTGGAATTTGGATTTTGCGGGCAGTTGTGCAATTCTGCTCTCAGTAGCCGCATTCTAGCTCCACAGTTCAGGTTTCTAGCTTCTGGATTTCTCTAAAAGCCTCGGAGGACACCCCAGGTCTTTAAACGGTCAGGGACATCATACTTTAAAAGTAGCGGTGCAGTTCGCATTGTTCCAGAGCTCCTACTTGCAAAAATATCCCCGTGGAGTTCAATGGGTTCACATGCAGAGCCTTCCCCATGTGACCATCCGTCAAAACTTCCGTAATTGTAGTTAAGCCTTGACCGTGGAATGCCGGATCCTGCCAATTTCCTTGGAAAGCGATAGGACCCCCCAAAAGCGATACGTTTAAAACAGACATCGGTTATGAGGGATGTGGGTTGACGTCGGTTTCGTTTGTATTGGTACTGTGATTACCCTGTCACTGTCGTTCCTGAGAACCCTAGGTTCAGGGTCGGGTGTGGCGGTCGGAGACGGAAACTTGCGCTTGGGGGTGGTGGAGGATGGGTGACGAGGATGACCACAGGTTGGCTCTCTGAAGCTTACGAAAGCATGCGTTGGGCCAGCAGTTTTTGGTTGGATAGGTGGCTAACCCATCGATACCCTAATCGATACCCTAATCCATACCCACCAGGTCGTTTTGTGACCCATTGCCCATTCGGGCAGTAAAGCGCTGGAAATAAAGAGCAGTAAAGGGAAGGGCAGGGAGGCTACGAGTAGGATGAGTGAGATTGATGGTCTTCTTACGTTCACAAAAACAAAAGCGATACCTCACAGAAACATGTGACGAAAACCTTGTAAAGCGATAGGACTCCCCAAATCATCCATGGTCAAGCAAAATACCAGAAGTTTTGACAAGCGCTCATGTAGTTTTCCATGCCTATAGAGACGAGCACTATCACATGCTTGTTTCAGTGTACATGCATGCATAGATGAATTCACGCTCCTTGGAGAGGCCGTGGAGTTGTTGAGTGGTCATGCCGTTGCATCCGTGGCCTGCGGCGAGTTCCACACAGCACCCTATAAGGAGTTGGTTGCGTTGGTCAGGCCTGACCTTGATTCCGATTTGCCGTTCCTCAAATCGGTTTTCCCGTAAACTTTCACCGGAGCCTGTCGCGAACTCGAGCTTCCTCGGGGCCCGAGGCCATGAGCTGAGTGTATTCAAAGACTCAACACCGCAGCCTCCACTCAACCCCAATGTACATCTTATGCCCGCTTCCACTCTCCTGCGCCCAAGGCATGTGTTCTCCAATCTGCCCCGCACGCAACTTTCCTTTTGTGATGGCAGTGTTTGCGGTGGCCTTCTTTTTCGGCAGGTTGGGTTTGGTCCTGGAGGTATTCGGGTGGTCTCGCACAAAGTCTCGTGTGCTGATATCTTTCCGACTTTTCGTCATTTTGGCTTTCACCTCACAAACTACGAGGTTCGACACAGATAGCACCCATATGGACCATTGCAGCGGCACTGTAGCCATGTTAACAGCAAGCTTGTGAAATGCATGGGTGCATGAATGCATGTCTGTATTGATCGGTGTATGGCTGTATGACCATGTATGGTCCTGTACGGCATTCCATGGCATGACATGGCATGGCATGGCATGGCAGGATGGCATGCCTCTGCCTGGCAGGCCGTCGTCCTCTCGAACCGGGCCGCGTGCTTCTTGAAGCTGGAGCTTCCCAAGGAGGCTACTTGCAGCTCTGCCTCAGCTCTCTGTGAAGGAGAAAGCCAGAAGTGAGTCGTCAGGCTTATGCAGACGCCATGGCTGCATCGGAGAAGGCGTGGACGGGGTTAGCTCTTCATTTGAGAACACCGTGATCATAGCACGTAGCCATGGTGAGGATGAGATTATGTGAAAATCAACGATCATCAATCATCGATGCTGTTCAGAGTGATGGTTTCTGGTGCGAGACTTGTGAAACAATCAACGGATTTCCAAAACATACCCATGGGCCCATGGTGACATATTGCGACTATTGCCTGTTCAGCGCCATGATTGCTGTTAGTGTTACCTACCCCGAAGCGATCGCAAAAAATAGAATTTGTCCGTTCTGTCAGCAACACGGTTTCGCTTGCGATTGTACTCGGAAACACGAAACGAAAAAGTCGAACGCATTACTGACTCGCAGATGTCGACGTACTTGCATCATGCTTCCATGACTTGGTAACGTTTTGTTAGGCGCATCCGACACTGCAGTTTTCGATGAACTGCCGGCGGAAGAGGTCTTCAAAGTCACATCGGTACCGATGTTTAGGCAGGCCCGAAGCCAACAAGCATAAACTGAAGTTCCTCCGGTTGATTACTGAACGATGACGAGCAGCCAGATTTCGATTGGACGATTTCTGCGACGATCTTTGAGTGCTTCCTGATGGTTCAGGATGGCCTGGTATGTGGCGCACTGAAAACGGCACAATGATAGTGTGGTTCTCGTGGTTGTGATGGTGATTTTGTTGCAGTTGTTGTTGGTGTTGGTGTTGGTGTTGGTGTTGGTGTTGGTGTTGGCGTTGGCATTGTTGTTGTTGTTGTTGCTGTTGCTGTTGCTGTTGCTGTTGCTGTTGCTGTTGTTGTTGTTGTTGTTGTTGTTGTTGTGGTTGTTATTGCTGCTGCTGTCGTTGCTGTCGTTGCCGATGCTAACGCGGAGGTTCATGATGCTGGTGATACTGAGAATCCGTTTATCGATTTCACGTTTTGAAGAGCAGTGTTCAAAAGGACCAAGTTCGAGGTGACTGCTCTAGGCGAACCATCGCAGCAAACAGCTCGCCTTGTGCCAGGATCCAATTTGGTCGAAGCCTTTGGTTCGAGCGGGCCAGGTGTCGCTCCCAGAACCCTTGCTGATGCACCCTCGTTTGTACGTACGTGTAGCGCAGCATGCATGCATGCACGTATATATTATATGGATGCTCTGAGGCATGCACTGACACACCAAGGCATCCCTGATCCTGGACGACTTCAAAGCAGCGTATGCCTGCTTTGCCAAGGCCGGCTGCATTCAATCGCAGCCTCTCCGGTTTAGGTGTCGTAGAACCGTGTGTCGTTTATCTCCGAAGAGCTCGACCTGGTTTCAGCACACATGCAGAGAGCAGCCGAAGCTGCTTGTTCCCGTCAGGCCCGGAGGCTAGACGAACATTACGAGGCGGCATTGCGGAGCTGTTTCATCACGCTCTGGTGTAGCATTTTGTCATGCTGCCGCACCATTCTGCTTATTGCTGTCGAAAGGTGCGGTGACTAAAGTGCGACACTGCAAAAACCAAGTTCTAGATGTGGATCTCAGACTCCCAAAGGTTTGCAGCGTGATATGGGCAACGGTAGGCGAAACCACCGAACCAATGTTGATTCTGGAGCAAGAAATGTGGTGTGTGTGTGTGTGTGAAAGTAGTCAAGGCATGATCTAAAGTTTCGAGGCAGCTAACGATGGCGTTAACAGTTGCCCGGACCTCAGCAAGTTATCAGCCTTTTTTGTAAAGACCAGCCCCTGTCTGTTGCTCCTAATGAGGGCCGCTTGGCGAATGTTAGGGAAGACAACTCAGGCGCTGCATGCCACTGCTGAGTCACTGCTGATGATGCCTGTAAGGTCTCCAGAAGATCATCCGCTGGGAATACTCCGCGTCCTCCTCAGCTGGAGTGACAGTCAGTGCGAGAACCAGAGTTCGAACGCGAGGCCAGTCATAGAAACGGAAGAGGGAAGAGCATCCAAAAGGGCACTGTACATATATATATATATGTCTACCTAGAAATAGACAGATAGATAGATATATCCGTTTGAAAGCCACCATGTCCTCTCTAGATCCTCCTGAAAACCTTGTTGGAAACCCAACGGATCGGAGAATCATGCTGTCTACGGGCGGGCTATGCAAGAAAGCCTTGAATTCGTGAGAGCTGAACGCATCGGTGCGGTGCATCGCACTCGCAGAAAGGCAGCGTGTGTGGCATCGTGCACTGAAGAGCATCAACAATCCTTTGTAAGTGACGGCTCCACTGCTTCGCCTTGCAAGTTCACGGCCCCAGCGCAGTGTTATGAGCCGCGCAGCGCATTGAGCCAGTACCTGACGAGACCGGGCTTTCGACAGCACCCCATAAAGTCCTACAGGGCTCCCTGACCTCGAAAACCCACAAGAAACAACAACCTGACTGTGCCACTACAGCTTTGCTCCACAGGCAGCGGCCAAGCGCTGGGCGAAGTTCGGTGTGGATCGGCGACGACCTCGCAAGGTGGGAAGGAGTTAAGCATGAGAAGGCAACGTTTGTTGATGAAAACATTGCAGCACAAGGAAAGTGAAGAACAGTACCAATAGAACTAACAGCTCAAGCTGTTCCTGTCATGTCACAACTGTACACCTCGCCAAAAAGCTTGGGTTTGCGGGTCGTAAGCGGAACACGGAGCTTGAGAAGGAAAACACTGTTCCAGGGTTTTTTGATCTGTGGACCGACGTGACTCGGTCCTCTTGCACCAACACCAGAAACTAAGCATGAAGTGCCAAAAGAACGACACGGGACAACTCGCTCAGCCCTTCATTCCTGGCTCGCCTGACTTCCTTCCGAGGAGCTTCGCATCTGGGCGTTGAGTGATGTCTTCTTCGACCAGCACGGTGTGCCTGAGTGGTGCCTTGGGACGCATGCGGCATGTCACCATGATGGGTACTGTTCGTGAGATCTTCTTGACATTGATCAAGTAGGAGCGTGCGGTATATGCACTTCATTTGGAGCATAAGTCTCATCAGTCACCTTGCAAAGGCAGGCTCGAGGTTCAAGGGGAGTAGCCGCCAGGTGCAAGAGCTTGTCTTCGTCCTTCTTCCGTGACGACGTGCTGATGTTGGCCCCGTGCTCAGATTTGATGTTGACATGGCACGAAGGGAAGTTGCTGCTTTGCCTAAGAGCTTCCTGCAGGCTGGAAACTTGGCCGACTCCTTGCCGCAGCTGAGATTTGCTCTAACGGTACTGAAAAGCAAGCCTGCCCGGCGAGTTCGCACAAAGCTTAAAGTGTAGCGCGAGACAGGCCTGGGTTTCAACAGTCGTGTGACTTTATGTAAGAGGCAAGACAGAGTTTGCAAAGCACACACCCTCCAGCTCTGATCGCTTGCGTTCGCCAGATACCTTGTGCTGCTTCGCTTTGCAACCTTGGCCAGGTTCCGTCGCATCTTTTACGTGCCCGGAAACCATGACCTCTGGGACTTTGCCTCTGTTTGTTCAGTGCAGCAGGTTTTCTTTGAAGTGTGCGGCAGTGTGCGTGGTTTTTCATGAGGTGCGCCGGGTGACGCTGAGCAGCATCATCAGGGGGGAGCAGGTCGAGGGCTTTGCATCTGATCTGAGCCCCGGGAGGATTCAGACTTCGGGTAAGCTTCAGTTCCAAACCTTCAGTCCTCAAACATTGAGCATGGTTCGCCCATGCCCTTAAAGCCTGAATATGGCATGGAGACCCAACTGCCGACCCAAAGGAGGACTAGGCTGCCCTCGTGCCTTCCCTCCTGCGCAGGTCAAAGATGAGCAGAGGGAAGCTCGACTGCAGACCAGCATGCCAGAATCACATATGTAGCGCAGGATATGATAGCCATGGTAGCACAAGACAGTCCCAGATCAATATTAAATGATTGTTAAAATGTGAGGCCTACAAAAACTGGGTACGGTGCACCCCTGTCATCAGCATCAGCAGGCTTACTACTCTTAATTATTCGTACAAGAGAGTTTTGACTTCGCGATCCATAATGGCATTATACTGCTTTCCCGCTACAAGTTTTCTACGGGTTTCCTACTGTGAACGAAGTTGCTACCTTGTACCGCTTTCCCTTTCATGGGAGTAGGTACTACTGGTTACTGCAGTTGCGAGTCTCATCGACCATCAACTTGGTCTGGACGTCATGCTTGCACATCGCAAGCAAGAGAAAAGGCAGTAGCGAAAGAAGCTACAGAGCAGCCTTGTCATGGTGCTCCTCACAATGCGGTTGTGGATTGCTCTTTCTCTAAGTAGCATGGGCTGAGAATGCAGGAGATGGGAGACTCCATCTGCAAGCTCTTGGAGGTCGCGGGAGAGATTGCGCCGAGTACTGTGTGACACTGTGTGAGCACCGTGTAGGCGTTCGGGGACTTGCAGGGCTGTTGTTTCGCTCCGTGTTTTTTGAAGTCGCATGAAGTCGCTCGGCCCCTGCCCTCCCCGTGGGCTCACAGGTTTTTGTACAGGGCCTCACCTGCGCTCAGAGCCTTGAAACAGAGTTTCGCAAGCGATACGATGCTACCGCGGCTTTTGCATCTCCCACTCCATGGAGAGCCATGGAAAGCAGTCAAGACCAAGTGGCCTTTCTGCGAAACTCTGTGATAGAGGTACTGAAGGAGGCAGTTGTTCGATCTCTCCTTTTGTGTCCTGCAATGGCGCTCGGAGGAGCTTGTAGGGGCCCCGTCGATCTTGCTGCTGCTATTACTGTCATCGCCATAGTAGCAGTAAGTAGTGGTGGGAGAGCAGCCGTGCCAGCGGCAGCCGTAGTGGCGGTATGGGATCCCCTGCGTTTTCACCGGTTCTTGGAGCCGTGAGCCGAAGCGGTTTGGGCTCTTGGCCACATGGGGCCAAGAGAGCTCGCTTGACCAAGGTCCGGCTCTTTTGGAGGCTCGTGGGTCCTGGGCAGTTCTTGAGGTGAGTTGTCATTGGATTTACCTGCTCGAGCTCTTAGTCCCAATGCACGGGTCTGCCCTGCGCTGATTGCGGAGATGGAAGGGATACGGGTGAAGAGTCATGAAGAGTCGAGGTCAGCAATGCAGACGGTATTGCTGAGACTCCCGCGCAGAGGCTGTCGGGGCTTCTGAGGGTTGCGACCGTCGCATGTTGCTTGTCGGGACGGACGGCTGCATGGCTTGCATGGGCCTAAAAGAATTGCTCCGAGCCTGCTGTCTGCAAGCCGATCTCCAGGTCTGCCGGCGCTGAGACAAAGAGCGGGCCAGGGCCAATGGCCTGTTACATCGGTGCGCTCTCCCACCTCTGTGCATGCTCAGAGTAGCCTTTGTCAGTATTCCTTTTGACGCTTCGTTAGTGAGACCGAGTCTGCCGCACTGCGAGCACCACAACATTTGTCTTCTCTGCAAGATCATTTTCAGTGCGAGTGGCTTGTGACAAGAATGATGCTGCAGATAGTAATAGCGAAGATATATTGAATATGCGTGGAAGATGTCAGGAAGCCCGCTGGCACTGCCCTCGGTGGGTGTTGTCCTTCTCAGCAATGTCGCACCGAGTCGCGACAGACTCGATCAAACTAGCTCATGCCTTCTTCGTGGGACTTTGGTCGTCCCTATCTATCCCTGCTTGCTGCTAAGGTTCTAGTTATGATGGGCGTGGTCTTTGCATTCACGAACAGCCAGATACCGAGCGCTAGTGATGCAACTTGGGTTCACCTCCCGGCAGCTTCACCGACTTCTCATGTTCGCGGCATAGTGAAAGAGGTCCGAAGCCGCAAAAGGGATGTGGTGGAACACCAATAATGAGTTGTTTCTTACACAGCTAGTGAAACACACCGATCTGTGCAAGTCCTTGATGACTGAAAGTGCCAGCCAGGGGGGACAAAACAGGGATTGTTGACCTGGATCACCGCAGATCCCCACTGTGCTCACGGGTTGCAAATCTCCCAGGTTTCCCTGAGGCAGGGACAGGTAGCACCGACCCGCGGCGCTTGTCGGAGACGTCAGGCTCTCAGATGCTTTCGCGATGTCCGGAAAGCCTCGTGATAACTCGTGATCAGGGAGAACTATGCTTGATTGCTAGATTTTGCGTGTTGCAAGTGGAGGTGCATGCTCCAAGTACCACTGGTACCCTGTTCGCCTCACAGTGATCTTCTTTCGAGTGTGTTTCCCACCCCTGTTACTTGCACTGCGACGACAGGATCTAAAGAATTTGTGTTGTACATCTGCTACAGTACATCCTCAAAAACTATACTCTTTTGTTGTTCGGCAAGGGGAAACGAAAGGTGCAGACTGCATGGGCAGGAGTGCACCGCAACTTGCCAGCAGTGGATGCTGCCGCTTCGCGAAGGAGTTCGAAGGCACAGTTGGATTGATGCACCTGAGCGGGTTGAAAAGTACGAGTGCTGGAAGATTCCAAAACATGCATCGTGGAATGCACACTGAATATGCTCAAAGCTATCAAATCTCCCTTCTGTTACTTTAGATATCCTCGGCATTTCCCTCTGCCTCTCAGACGTGGACTGGTACAATCCGCAGACCCGGGCAGATTTCTTGGCCGCCTTTTGCTCAGCGCGCAGAGATTGAAGGCATGTTGAAGGCCCATCAGTTGAGTTACCCATCTGCAGTGCTTGCAATCTCAGAACGTCATGTACGTGGAGAGCCGCTTCCTTGGAGCGACAGCCTCAGCCAGTGGCTGCCAGATCGAAGTTACGTAGATGGCCAAGAGCTCTTGATCCAGTGAAGCAGCTGGCAGACCTGTCAGGGGTCAGCAGTGGCCTTCGATCCTGACACTGGAATGACCTACGATGGGCTCGGCACCTGGAGGCCTTGCAGGGTCCATCCCTTTTGTTGACTGTGACTTGAACCTAGGGTTAGTCTGGACTACAACACCGGTGATGTCCAGCCGGGGCTCAGATCGCCAGACTTGTCAGACTTGCAACATGTTGGAGTGGTCCTGCCTTTGCCGCTTGCCTTTGTCCCGGCCCCCTGTGCCTTTGCAGGAAGCCTCTTTATATCTCTTTATGCCTTCCAGGAGCCATTGTGGTCCACACAGGAGAAATCGAGACGCCAGTGAGAGCAAGCGCTCGAGTTTGCCATGGCCGTCGGAAAGAACAAGCGCCTCACCAAGGGCGGCAAAAAGGGTGGCAAGAAGAAGGCCGGCGACCCCTTCCTTCGAAAGGAATGGTACGACATCAAGGCTCCCAGCCCCTTGGCCTGTATTCAAGACACGTCGTATATATATATATATACACACACACAAATACTTTGTATTATAGTATATTATAGTATACTATACTATATTGTATAATTGTATATATATATATATATATGTGTATATATATATATATCTACGTGTATGGGCATCTGTCTCGCTCTGTCTCCGTCTCCGTCTACGTCTCCGTCATGTGTCTCTGTCTCTCTCTCTCTCTCTCTGAACATGCAAGATGTGCATGTATATGTATACATATATATATATATATACACATACGTACACTATTACAAACACAAACACATAGACATATACATATACCTATACATACACATACACATACACGTACGCACACAGACACACATACATACATACATACATACATACATACATACATACATTTCTACTTTGAGCACCCTCGGCCATACATACACACATACAGGCACACACACACAATATAATACAATGAAACAAGTTACATTACATAACAATGCACTACATTACAATACACACTTACATGCACACATGCCTACATGTATACATACATACATACATACATACATACATACATACATACAGACATACATACATACGTACATACGTACATATGTATACATGGACGCCCAAGAGAAGGCAGGCTTCCTCAAGAGGATTCAGACTGGAACATTTCCGGATCTGTTGCAATTACGCATGCCCCTTTTGTGGACAGCGCCATGGTGAGGGTCACTTGGATTGTACGTGCGCGTCTGGTCCCGCCCTACTCACCAGGACGAAATAGAACGATCCGATGCTCCGAAAGCATCGTCATAGTAGACGAAGTAGTACGATGTTGTACCTGGAAAATTCTGCAGAATTTTACAGACATTTGAGAAACCAAGTGGTTGGCACAAGGCATGTTCTCCGTGCGTCAGTGCGGCAAGACCCTGGTCAGCCGTCGCTTGGCCGCAGGTGGAAAGATGAAGCTCCGAGCCCCAAACTTACACTATAATGCAAAATGGTATATGATACTATACTATAACATATTATATATACAATATGATGGTATCAGATGATCCTGAAACCCCCAAAACCCTAAACCCTCCGGTGGCATCTTTGGGAGTCTCTCGGCAACTCCCAGGAACCCAGGGAACGAAGATCGCCACCGAGGAGCTGAAGGGCCGCGTCCTGGAGGTTCTTCCTGGGGGTGGGACCATGGGCTGGAACATACGGTTGATGATATAAATCATGCATTACCCAAAATAAGGAATAGCCACAATTCCCAGAGTTTAGGGTCCTTGAGGTAATGCAGGATTTGTATCATCAACAGTATGGGTAGTCTTCTAAATTAGGGTCCTTTTTGTAGGTCCCCAAGCAAGTACAGCACCCTTATAAAAGGACCCTAAAAGGGACCTCAATTTAGAGAACTACCCATATGTGTGTTGATTCACTATAAAATGTCTAAGGTACTATAATGTACTTCATACAATATATTGCGATATTATTTTCTAGAATATAATTTCCTATGGTATAGTATAGACAAATACAGTGTAGTACGACATAGTACAGTATAAGAGAACAGTTTACCCACTATTGCGCGGGTTGGATCCATCTCGAGGATCCGGTGTCTGCCGGGAAGCCACTGCTGCAGAGTTCGAGCTGCGAATTCCTTACCTGGTTCCCCCCTAACACCCTAAACCCTAAACCCTAAACCGTCATTCTGCTGCGCGGCAGGTGAACCTCGCAGACCTGAACAACGACGAGGATCAGGCTTCCAAGAAGATCCGCCTCTGCATTGAGGAGGCGGCATGGGCACACGACAAGCTAATCCTTTCTCAGAGATGATCCATCAGGTCTAGGCTATCACCTCTTTGAGGTCTTGGCTATCACCTCTTTGATAAAGAGCTGGAGCCATTTGGGGGTTTCCGAAAATAGGGGACCCTAATATAGTACCCTAAATAATAGGATCCCTATTATAAGGACCCCAAAATAAGGTACCTGATTTTCTGAAACTCCCATTTGAGTTGAATCCGAAGCTGAGCCTGGCAGGTGCAGGGACGTAGCTGCCTTACCGACTTCCATGGAATGACTCTGACCAGGGACAAGATTTGCTCTCTGATCAAGAAGCGACCTGGCTGTGCCTTTTTGGGGTTTTTGAATAGAATACCATATAGCCGTGCTTGTCAATGCAGCCTGCTCTGAGAGGTGGCAGACGCTCATCGAAGCACATGTGGATGTGAAGACCACGGACAACTACGTGGTTCGCATGTTCTGCATTGCCTTCACCAAGCGCCGTCAGGATCAGGTGAAGGCCAACTGCTATGCCCAGTGGCTTAGCTGCAAGGTGTAGTGCTGGAACTGTGGCTCTTCAGGTCCAGTTCGGGCAGGGCCACGGAATCTCACCGCGAGGTCTGCGCAGATCCGCAAGATCCGCAAGAAGATGACCGAGATCATGACGCAGGAATGCGCAGCCAGGGTCTACGAGTCTGCACTGTGGTGTGTTTCGTCTCAAGGCATAAAGACACTTCCGAGTCTTTAGCAGGGGCTCCTTGGTGGTGTCCTGGATGTTAGTCCCTGCTCTTGTCTTGGGGCCTGTCGACAAAGACTCGAGTAAGACCACCTTTCGCCCTGCTCCGAGCTCGCCTTACCGAACCAAACCGGTATATATATATATACATATACACAAATATTTCGTATTATAGTATATTATAATATATGATACCCTTGTATATATATATATACACAAATATTTGTATTTGAGTATATTATGATATATGATACCCTTGAATAGGAAGACCCCACCCGCCTTTTGATGCAGGAGGCCAGCAAGGCAGGGGCCTCGGATCCGCTCCGGTCCGGCATCCCCGGGCTCTTTGGGCGCCCCGAGGGAACCGATCCGAAAGCGCCGGAAGCCAAAAGAGCGCTCCAGGTGCAGCTGCGTGAGTTGGTCAAGAAGCTGATTCCAGAGTCCATCGGCAAGGAGCAAAGCCTTCGGTAAAGTCATTCTTGAGTTTATTGCTCCGATGGTGATGCTGAGATGCCCTTTGTACTAAGCACTCTAGCAACATCTTCTTCCTCTTTAATCGATGTTGCTGTCGTAGTTTTTTGACTTTTCGCGGCTGTGTGTCTCTTTGTCAGGGTTTGCAGATTGCTCTGCGCGGAAACTCCAGGAGATCGAAAAGCAGGCCCAGGGGATCTTCCCTCTGAAGGAGCCGGGGTTCCGGGGTTTCCGATGACTCAGGGTGACTGAGGGACTGAGGGGTTCATTTCCCTCTTGTCGCCCTCGATGGTCGCCACCCGGGTTTGCATGTGGGCTTGAGGGTTCGTGGTGGTAGATTGGGGTCGGTCTCAGGACTCAGGCCGGGGATCGTGTCTTTCGCTCTGTCCAGGACTGCCTCATCCGCAAGGCCTGGGCCTTCTCGTTCATGCAGCTTGTTTGGAGCGCATCTGCGAGCGAGCTGGAGTCAGCGATGCCATCCGAAAGCCGGAGCCTATGGGGTTTATTCGGCCGCGCCCATGGAAAGGTGAAGATTCTGAAGAAGCCAAAGTTCGACATCACCAAGCTGCAGCTTGCCTGCTCGTGTACTTACAGCCCTTGTAGGAGCCTTGATCCGCAGACACTCGCAGAGCCAACGCTCAGGATGGAGCTGCACGGGGATGGCGGCCACCCGCATGCAAGCGAACGAAGACAAATAACAGGAGGAAGAGGAATAATAAGCACAGGAGGATGGGCGAAAACAGAAGATGCATCTTTTTTGAAAACCCAAAACGGATTCCCCGAAGAGAGCCAGAGAGTGGAGCGACGAGAGCCGGGAGAGAGAAGCAAGCGAGGCGACGACATGGGTGTGGAGATGGTCCGCCCGGAAGCGGAGGACGCCGTGAACACCTTGCCCTCCGGCTGGCACAGGGTTGGCGAGAGCGAGTGTGCTCAGCCAGCTAGAAGCAGCTAGATTTTTTACGTCGGGACCAGAGGCAAACCTTGAACTCATGCGGTCCAGATTAGGGCTCAGATTCTTCTGGATGGGAAAGCGATTCCGGGTATGTGGAATTATCGGGTTAAGGAGTCGGTTGAAGCTCTTCGGGGAAGTGGTCCGGTGTATGTCGAGGCGGGGAGTTCGGCTCTGGGCATTTCTTCCGGCTCTCTTTCGCCCTGAATCCCTGCCCTTTGTCCGAAGCCACCCCTCAACTGTAACCCCTTCAACCTCCCAAACCCAAGGACGGCTGATGTTACAGCGGCTGCTGATGACGACTAGAGGAGCTTGTGACTTGCGTAGATAACTTCGCTGCAGGGCATTGGGGGCCTGCGTTGGGGCATGGGTTTTGGGAGTTGGACGAGCTGAGCTGAGTTTGCCTTGTGGATCTTTTTGGCTCAGTTGCCAACTCCTGAAGTATCCTGAGTACCGTGCTTGCCTTGCACTACCATTGGCTTCAGTCGATCCAAAACTGTACAGAAACAGCGCACACTGCGAACGAGCGCGAAGAAGCACATGACGTGGATGCGGGGCCTAGCATGTCCGTGAAGTAGCAAAACCCGTAGCGACCCTTGGGGCACCGTTGGTGGTCGTCATGGATGCCGGTCATATCACTGTGGCCGTAGTTGCCTGCTACCATGATTAGAACGCCCTACCATGCGATGGTTACTGCATGGGAAGGGATAACAAATGCACCCACCCAGATTGTGCCCATAGTGATGAGGAACATCTCGAGCGGGGGCTGGTATGATGCGTTCAACGCGCGTGGATCGCTGATCCGGTGGTGGTGTGAGTCCACGTGCTTGTAGACGAAGTGAGAGTGGTGGCAGCACCAATGGATCGCATAGAACCACATCTTGCTCAGAATCAAGTGCAACACAGCCTTGAAGACCTGCCGGTCCAATGCGTTGACGCCTGCTGATGTGGCAGACATGGTGCCACTAGCCGAGCCAGGAGGCAACAGGAATCGAAGTTGCCGACAATAAGGCTGGCCCGATAAAGCTTCACCGGCTTCTTCCGGGCTGCAGCTAATCCCTGTCGATCCAATAGCTGCATGACAAGAAAGTGTGGACATGAAGATCACGAAGGCCTTGTCGCCGAGCACGTCCAAATTCTCGACCTTCGTGGGTTTGCCCCTTGCTCCGTACCTACTACCACTTCGATGGCGACAGTCGCAGAGTGCTGTTTGCGGAGGATTTTCGTAAGTCTTAAGGCTCTTGTCCAGCTGGGAAGTCTGAGACATCATGCTACTGTAGTCGAATCCTTCGAGTTTGTTAATTGGCCCAGTGTAAATTCAGGGGTATTTTTGCCTAGCAGCTGGCGGCAACTGTGAAGTTCGCCAGGCTCGTCGGAGCTTCATTGCAGCCCAGTCTTGCCGGATGGTGGCACAAGAGACTTTCCGAGCAGCAACGAAACCATGCTTGCTTGCCTTGCCTACGGCTGAGTTCGGCCATGTGCCATCCCACCTTCTCCTTACATCGTAAGCCTGGTGCAATGCGTATATGAGTTGTATGATACATAGAAGATGTAGCAGGGCCGTCAATGTAATTCCTTGTGAGCATGCTGACTTTTCGATTGATCACCCCCGTGTTTCCACTTTGAGCTTGTGCAGGAGGGCCTGGCGAATGGAATCACCAAGCGTAGGATGCTCAAAGGCAGGAACCTCCGAAGGTATCTTGGCCACAGCAAGATGTGTAAGTCGTGACAGCTGTCTCCCTTTCAGCTTTGCGTCTGCGACACGTCTTCGACTAGGTCAAAGCATGAGAGAGCGAAGCCAATGAGATGCGACTGGATGCCTTTGTGCCTTTGTTCGAGTGGACCACACGGCAACGGATGACAGCAAAAAGATCTTTGTTGCACTCCACTGGGCCACGGTGCTTGCATCACTAACATTTGCCAAAGGCTGTGCGGTTTTTTCCTCAATGAGGCATGGAACTCTTCGAACATTCTCGGCACCATCCAAAGAGTCGTGTCCCCAGCCGTGATGCGACTCTTGCAGAAGCCCACCTCCGAGCTCGACACGGGCTGTCCCTGATTCCCGGTTACCCTAAACTCCACCAGACTGAACACCTTGGGATCACCTTGATAAGTCCTTGAAGCATCTGGGGGTTTCCGACAGTAGGGGACCCTAATATAGTACCCTAAATAGTAGGATCCTTAGTATAAGGTACCCTCATTTTCGGAAACTCCCATCTTGAGCAAGTCCAGGGCTCTGCACCTTAGCCTCCTGGCCTTGGCCCTCCAGCCCATCGAGGCGGGAGTGGCAAGACAGAGACGGAGAGAGAGCGAGAAACCAGTGCGCGCACGCGCGCAGAGGGGGGGGTGCATTGCCCTTCTCTTGACTGTGTGGAAGAAGAGAGCGAGAGAGAGGGAGCGAACTGCAGAAAGACAAGGAGAGACCGAGAGAGCTTGAAGCTTACAGTACCTGATCGCCGAATGAAGGTGATATGATGCTGCTGCCATATACTACAGTATGTGCGACTGCGCACCACAAGTTACCGCACGCGACGTCAGGATAGGTTGGATTGACGGCAGCTTCATGCTAAGCATTCGATGACAGGATGTGCCCGCCGAGTCTCGCTCTCAGCTTCATGCTGCTAAACCTCATTCAATGGCCGTGGCTCCATGTGAGCTCGGGTCCATGTTGCACGTATCTGCAGATTTAACGCGCTGCTGCAGCGTTGGGCACAAGGAGGGGGGCGGAGGGCCCCCGTCAACTTGCGGTCATGGAGCTGGGCGCGCCTTGCTTCCTCCAGCCGGCAGTGCTTTCCATGCCGAGGGAAGCTCGGCAAGCTGCTGCCCCATCAAGTCTTCAAGGTCGTAGTCGGGGCTGGGACCCTACATCCTTCGGGGCCTCCGCTGTTCTGGCTCTAGCAGCCCTCCACCGCAGGAAAGCTGGCCAGGCCCTCAGCTGTAACCTTGGGAGCCCCACGGCTCGGCTTGGGAGCCCCATTCCTTCGGTTTTTCTTCTTGCCCTGACTTCAAGGTGTCGTTCGTGCTTCAAGGGGCAGCGCCGTCGCAGTGCGGGCGGCAGACGCCGATGCATGGAGGCGAGGGTTTCGAGAAGCCGAGGAGCTGGAGGATGGATACTACTTTCTGGACGTTGAGGGCATTCCTGCAGATCTTTCCGGCACCTACTTCCGGAATGGGCCTGGCAAGTTCAAGGAAGGAGAGAGCCAGGTGGCGCACGAGCTGGATGGTGATGGGTTCATTCTGGCCATAAGCTTCAAAGATGGTCAGGTGTGCGTCCGACATCGTCTAGTTCAGACCCAGGGACTTCTCAGAGACAAGTTCGCCAAGCGCATCTTTGCCAAGGGCTTCTACGGAACTCCCCCAGGCGAGGGCGGGAGTGCCTTGGATGCCCGCAAGGGCTTTCCCAAGCACACGGCAAACGCAGGCATGACTTTCTGGGAGGACCAGCTCCTTGCCGTCGGGACGGCGGGGAGCAAGAAGCCCTTCCAGATCGACCCAGCCTGTTTGGGCACAGTGCTCGGGAACGAGGACGAGGGCTCCTGGAATCTGGATGGGGCCTTGGACAGCGAGACGGGCTTTGGCTCGTGCCCGAAAGTTTGTGGTACGGAGGGCTGTCTTAGTTTCATCGACCAGACCCCTTCGCTGGGTTCGACGACGGTGAAATACCTGGAGTTCGCGCCTGGCGCCTGGAGACCCCGGTATCCCAAGCCGCGGGAGTTCTCCGTCGGCGGCTTCACGCGCTTTGCCGACTTTGCGATTACGCCCAAGTGGCTTGTTCTGGCCAAGCCCCCGCTGAAGGCGGATGGCCTTGGGGCGGCCTTCGGCAAGACCTTCGCGGAGGTCCTTGAGTTTGACCCCTCGGGTACTGCAGAGCTCATCTTCGCCACTCGACTTCGCCGCGATGAGCAAGAGGTCACGGTGCCCGTAGATGCGCTCGTTTGCGAGGAGTTCGCCAATGCCTTCGAGGATGCTATGCTCTCGCCATGAAGCATGGTGATGCCGATGACGATGACGATGACGACGATGACGATGATGATGATGCTGATGCTGATGTGATGGTGGTGATGATGATGATGATAAGGACGACGGCAAAGAAAATCAAGATTTTTGCCAACTGCTATTCTGAAAGATCGCACGGTGTTCCCAAGCGTTTGCTGCCTTCCTCAGCGTGACAGAAGCAGATGATAATGATCGGTTGGAGCGTCCTTGGTCGGATTCGGTTTCCCCATGATGTGTACTTGTTGCGATGGGTTTTGAACAACATCAATCTGGCAAGGTGAACATTTGTTGAATGCTAACGTAATATTCACGTTGCTGTTGCCGTTGCTGCTGCCGCTGTTCCTGTGGAGGTGGCTGTGGCTGTGACCGTGGCCGTGTCTGTGGCTGGTGACTGTGGCTGCTGCTGCTGCGGCTGCTGTTGTTGTTGCGGTCGTCGTCGTCGTCGTCATTGTCCCTTGTCCTTCTCCTCTTCCAAACGGCATGTTATTGCCTGTAGCTACTGTTGCTTACTTCGACCGGTGCCTTACTCGGTTGGCCATGGCTCTTGGCCATGAACTCGTCAGCAGGATCTTATATGCGGGGCCTCTCTGATGTCTGCTGTCTGGAGCGCATGTCATGAATTACGGCAAAGTACAGTATGGCTCGATCTCTCCAACGGCCCATCCCTCGGCTGCAGGATGCTGAAAAGCCAGTAAGTTTTAAACAAGCCGATCAAGTTGCTGTTGCTGTCCCATCCTGGGGGAAGGATCCAAGTCAGCACGCAAAAGCTGCTGCATGGTGTCCGTTGAACAAGTTGTGCTGCGTTACCGTCAGCGGATGCACGGCTAGTAAACTCGACCCACCCATGTCATGTCCGTGGCTGCAGTAAAGCCTGCACTACTATCCGTCACGCTGCAAAGCAGGACGGCGGGCGCGTCATCGTCGACCTGGTGGCAGCCGAGCGATGGGACCTGGGCAAAGTCGATGCTGGCCCACGCTGGGAGGTCCAGGATCCAAACCAGGTTCCCAAACGCTCCCTTGTGCGCTATGAGGCGGAGGATCTGTAACGAAACCACATTGACACGACATGTGTGAAGATTTCTTGTGCCGTCCCCGGCTACTAGTACCTGCTACTGTTACTGCTACTGCTATGGCCCCAAGGTGGATTTGAGCACCAAGACCTTCACGAAGCGGAGTCTTTGCGATCGGCATCTGGGCTTTACCAGTGTCAACCCGACCTACAACGGCAAGAAGCACAGGTTTGTCTTCGCCGCCGTGGCTCACGGCGATGTGGGTCCATATGGTGGGGTTGCCAAGATCGACGTGGAGAGTGGCGAGATGGATGAGTGGCTGGGAGGACCTTCTGAGTTCTTTGGAGAGCCCCTGTTCGTTCCAAAGGAAGGACTCGATGGGGAGGAGGATGGTTACCTGATTTCTGTGAGCTTCGATGGCCAGGAGGACAAGAGCTCGGTACTCATTTTCGATGCAAAGTCCATCTCTCAAGGGCCTGTGTGTCAGTTCCCGCTGCAGACAGCGGTACCTTATGGGCTCAAAGCCTGCTGGGTGCCTGATCTGGCCTACACGCCAGAGGAGATGAAGCGGAAGACTACTTTATTGAGGATGTTTGTGAAGAAGTCCACCGAATGGAATGCCATGGAGATGGGCTTCTCCTCTTTCGGAGGGCAGGCGCTCTTCCAGAAGCAAGGTGTCAAGATGCGATGAGCAGTCTTACTATGTCTTACTCTTAGTTAGGACGATGATGCTGCGTGTGCAACAGGCGTTTCGCGCGCTGGCTAACCCCGGGCTGCGCCCCATATCCGATTTTCCACTCGAGACCCATGAAAAGCGGCAGCTTTCGTCCTTCTGGACTGACAGATCTGTCATCCCACCAGCTCACTTCCCTTGGGTTCCGATGGCTTGGGAAAGCATCACACTGGCCCGAAGTCTCCTGAGCACCATGCACCAAGGCTAGCCGCCGCACTTCCGCTGCTCTACGGCACTGACGAGGCCAGGCCCTGGGCTCTCCTCGCAAGAAGCCGAAGGGGAGAGTCGACGGGGCCTAGCTCAGGCGCTCGACATCCTGGAGAAGAAGGCTCCATGCTCTGCCCAGGAAGGGGGAGATCTCCGAAGTTTTTTCAGTTTCTCAGGTCAGCAGCATGGAAGACTTTGATGCGCGCTTCCCGGGTTTCGGGGGCTACATGCCCTGGCCCCGTGCTCAGAGGATCCCAGAGGCTTGCAGCATCGTATCGTAGTGGGGGCCTAAGCCTACCTTCGAGCCCTGCAGGTTCTGCTCTCGTGGCATCAATGATGCGGGAATCTGCAAGAGCCCGGGGCTGAGGGATGCAGTGAAGGCGATTCTAGTCTTTTCCTACCCACTACCACCACAACCACAACTGAGCTTACAGGAAGCCCGGGGTCTGGGATTGGCTGAGTTTGCTGCTGCTCTCGTTGTCTTCTCCCTCTGCCCTCTGCTTGCCCAGATGAGGCACGACGGACCCTGGAACCAGCAGGATGATGCCCTTGCCTGGCTGGGAGAGGAGCCCGAAGCCAAGGTTTCTCAAATGCTGAAGGCGGTAGGTTCCCTTCAGAGGTCCTATAAAATGATCCTTTTCGGCTTCCTTTTAGGGTTCCTTTGCCCTGGGCCCCTGGTGTTGAGGCCTGCCAGGCCTGGACAACGGCCAGCTTGCCTTTGGCACCGCCGCGGTGGTCTGATGCTCATGGGAATACCATTGTAGAAGGTAGGAGGGTCGGTCTTGTAGTGGCTGCAGTGTAACTGCACTGACGTCTGCTAATGCTGGTTGAATGACGTTACTGCCACCTTGCCCCAGCCGGGGTTTGGGAATCGAAACGTCAGCGCTTTCGGTATTTGGTGCAAGGTGCATGTCTTGGAACGCCGAGCTGCGCAGGAAGGCAGCTCTGGCAGTGCACCGAGAGCAGTTTGCAGAACTAGAACAACCACTCACCAGCCGATGTTCTTTTTGTTGTCTGAGCGCAATGGCCTGAAGCTTTCTTGAGCAGAGTCAGGCAAAGTCTAGGGCATCACAACTGCGTCTTGGGGCGTTCGAGTGCAGCTCCCGACAGACTCGAAGCTCTGCACGCAGATCTTTGAGGTCGGTTTGCCGAGATGGCCCGGCGCTGGAACGGCCGCCTGGAGCGGATGAAGGTGGAGAGGGACGGGAGTCATGAAGGTCGGAAGAGGCTTCGAGCTTCAGCAGTTTAGAGTCTAGAATGATGTCAAGCTTGTGGGTAAATTAAGAGTTTAGGTGGATTTGGGTCCGAATGCCCAACAAATGCCAGGCGTCGGTTGTGAACCTTTTCTACGACGGAGCCGGTCTGGTCAGGGCCTCAAGTCAAGGTGATGCAGCATTTCTCTACGATCTGCATCCTGGCAGTGTGCCGTCATTGGCATGACGCACATTGACGCACTGACTAGTGCTCGCACCCATGGTTGTCAATCATGCGCAGCTTGAGCTTGTTTTGCTGTCGGGTAGGTCGTCTTTCCTCCGTACGAATGTGTGAAATTGGATGATGCTACTGGACAGGTGCGCATGATTTCTCAGCTAGACAACATCACCGTTGACGCACGCGGCTTAGTGCAGCACTTTGAAACACTATCCTGTTTTTTCGGCGAGCTGCTTGGTGATTTTGTGCCTCGTGCAGTCCTTTCATGCCCCTCCTCAATCCGATTCTGGCTTCTTCCTTCTCAGGTTGCAAGGAATGCCTCCAATGCTCACAACCAGAACCACATGGTCGCTGCCCGAGCTGTGCACCAACAGTACAGCCAGTACAGCAGTGGACAAGGACTCGCACCGACTCGGGAGGTGTGGGTCAGAGTGAGGTAAACCGCTGCTGACTCGTTCGGATGGGGCAACGAATGAGTGGAGCAGCAAGATTTCCAGAATCCGAAAGACTCTGCAGACATTTTGATTAGTTCTGTTTAACATTGCCCGTGCTGGTCACTTGTGCGTTTACCGGTTCCAGCGATGTGCTGGCAAAGTCTTGGCACATGCGCTCAGGTTCTTTGGGATCCTTTCGAAGGGGAGATGTGGCTCCCTCAATCGTTCAAGATTGAGGGTCTGAGCTTGTCCGAACCAGATCTTGCAGTCGCAAGCTGCATGTCAGGGTTGTGATCTTCATGGACATCTTTGGCAATTGGAGCAAATACCCAAACAATGGTGAGGAGCTGTTGTCTGTTGCTGGTGTTGCTGCTGGCTGTTGTTGCATCTGCTTCTGCTTGTGCTTTTGGTGTTGTTGCCGTTGTTGCCTGGCCGTGGCGTTGGTGTTGCTGCTCTTCTCAGCAATTTGCAGGAGGAGAAGAAGCTGATGTGGAAGATCAAGGCAGAACATGCCACCTGCTTAGCACGGCAGTGAATGTGCGTACCCGGTCACATCGTCCAGAATGAGATGAGGTGGAGCCTGTTGTTTATACAGCTACCGACAATTCGAAGATGGTTCTGCAGAAAGGATTTTGGCCTGCTCCCGAGCTCCATCTGGCGCTGTAGGTGTCATATCGTGCGTGGCTCCGGCTCTCCCAAGCGACTCTTGGAGCGGAGAGGTTCTCAGCGCATGAGCAGTGGAAGACCTTACAGCTTCCTTACATGGACATCCCACTGGTCCGCCGCCCGGCTCCGCCGCGAGACGCTTTGAGCTCCTTTGAGGTGAAACTCTGGACACCTAGGTCAGGCACCTTTTCACGAACGGTGAGTTCGCACGCTTGGAGAATTCATTGCAACAGCAGCTGCCGTCACCTCAGTAACTTCCGAAAAGACATGTCTTGAGTCTCCTAAAAAGGAAGAAGCAGAAGCTTCCAGCTCACGGGTCCCGCCATTTTTTCCTCCTCTCTCCCTCTCCACTCCCTTGTAAGGGTTGTTTGTGGACTCAAAAGCCACTCTGCCGAGGCCTGGCTTAATGGCTTCGGTGAACGCGCCCCACGGCCTTTGGGCAGCAAGGGCCAACGAATCTAAGGGTCAAAGAAGCCCCCTAAAGCCCTAAACCTTTAGTCCCAAACTGCAGCCCCCAAAGTTGCGTGTCGGAGGAGTGCAGTGTGACAACCATCCGTACTGCAGTGCCGTGGGCATACAGGCCAGGCCAGCCTTCGATACAGCTCATTCAGAACAGAAATTTCAGTCTGCAAGTCGCAGGCGCTAGCGGAGCAGCCAATTTTTACAGCCGGGCGCCTGGCGAAATCCCTCCTCGGAAAGCTCTTCCACCTTGAGCTCCTGATCCGAGGAGACAGTCCTTACACCCTATGCTGCTTTCCCTTCGATCTTGGTGGTGCCAGCCCAAGAGCTTCGAGGATGCTCCTGCCCAAAATAGTTTGCTGACATGGTCAGCTGTTCTCGCAGCGATTTGTTGTGCCCCAACAAGGACGTTTGCCCTTTCAGTCACATCCAGCCGAGGATTCAGCCGCTGGACTTGCGTGGTGCGCCAGCTTCAAGCATTATGGCATCGGCCCAACCCCTGATACATGGACCAAACCTGTCCCGACAGTTCTAGCGCACATGGTGGCAATGATTCTAACGGTCACCACAGCAGCTGCGCGAGACAGCAGCAGTGCCTTCCGGAGATGACATCACAAGGACATGCCCAGTGACCCCAACAGCGGGAGGTATAACCACATGCTGGCCATGCCGCGGGTGCAAACACCCATTGGCAGCATTGAGTCCTTCACCAACAGTGGCAAGGCAGCAGGGGGCCTCGGTTCTCCGAAACCCCATCCAGCTCGCGTGCGTAGACAGCTGCGTTCGGCATCCTATGTAGGAAGGTACGGATGTATGTACGTATATGCGTGCGTACGTGCAGTACGTGCTGGCCACTGAAAGTTCATGCTCAAGACATCTTAAACTAAATGCGCGGCTATGTACAGTACATAACATACTCAGTGAATGATAGGTCATAGAGACACATGATGTCCAGTCCCATAGGTGCATAAGTCGTCTAGTATGCAATCTGAAGCACATCATCTCCGGCTCGTCGGCAGAACATTTTCAAGTGCAGTCTACAAGTCTTCAAGCTGCAGGTGTATGTGTTTGTGTCCTAGGTGTGCAGCATTAAAGAGAAGCTTAGGGCCCGGTGACAAGCAGCCAAGGTCGCTCCCATGGCGACCTGGGACGCCAAAGCTACCACCGCCGCCAGCTCATCGACAGTTGTTTTCTTCAAGGGCATGTTTCAACGCCATGGCGGATTCAGAGGATTGTAGAGGGGCATGCTGCGTAAATACTGTGTTGTTGTTGCTCGTTGCAACGTTGCATCGCAGATGAGATCAATTCATTCTCATTCTGCCCCTTCAGAACCTTCCTGTGAGTTCCTGCGAGGTCGTGGCCATGCTTGGCGGAACCGGACCTCTCCTTCGCATCTTGTTTGCACCTTGTTTGCTGAGCCTCTCATCCCCAAGAACCGCTCCGCCCAGGCACCTACATGCAAGATCATGGAGTGTATGGCGTTTTCGAAGATCGTGTCAAGTCCATGTATGCCTTGCTCTCAGAATCTGAGGAGTTTCGTCAGAGGATCATGATCACAGAAAGTTTTTTTGCTTCCAGAGGGGCCGATCTTCGAGCCGGTCATTGCCTCCGTGATGCCGAGTAAGGCTTCAGTCGGCGTGCAACTCAGTCCACAGACACGGTTGTTGCTGTGTCGTGGATAGTCGTGGTAACGAAAATTTATCTGCCACTAGCATCCGCGGAATTAAACACTAGTTCTGCATCGTCATGAGCCGTGGCCGCTGCCAGATGCGCAAATTGCGCAGCTCCCAAAGCTGCCGCTGCCGACAGCTCATCTTGCTCGACGCAAGGCCATTCGGAGGGAGATGATCGAAGCCTGAAGAGCTTTTGAGTCTCGAAGGGAGAGAGTTGCTGTTCGCCTTGTAAGCATCAGAGACAGGTTCCTAGTTGAGACCAGTGCCCTAGGCTCCCGCACTCGAATCGCCCTGGAACATTGTCAATGCAATGTGAGCGAAGAAGTGATGTTTAGCTCAACATGCCTGTGGTAGAGGTGGGTGCGTGGACGTTGTACTCAAAATACTCGATCCATTCTGGATGATGCCAGGATGCTCTGCCGGAGGACTTTCCGAGCTGCCGTTGCCACTCGGATGATGGGCTCAAGTATCTACACTGAGAACCAATGACAAGATGCAATGATGCCCTTCACCTGTCAATGTCATTCTGGTTGCTGCTGCAGAGGGTTGGCGGGCCGGGCAACGTAGGAGCAGGAGGAGGAGGACATGATGCCAATCAGACTTTTAACTGGAATAGTACGATAAGAAAATGCGAACACCAACACTCACAGGATTGTAGTGCGCGTGTCGATGGCTGCTGAGGCCTCGAGGACAAGCGGACTCCAGGCAGATCAGGGAAGTTGGGTTCACAGCGCGGGGCCTCGAGAGGCAAAGGCGAAGCGAAGGTCGACACCGTAGGCTCTATCTAGCAGGTATTCCGACCGTAGCAGGGATGGAAAGGGCCTTCAAAAAAACTGCGCAGAAGACTAAGTCTATCATGCTCATTATGATATTGAATAAGAACAAGAACGAGACACAAGAACAAAACACCATAATCAGAAGAAGCATACGGCAAGTGAGAATCACTGTACTAGCAACAATGATAGTGCTACTCCCCACCTTCAGCATGTGGTCACATTGACGGCTAGAAGCGACTTGAGCTGTTGTAGAGACCACATTTCTGAACACTTCGGAGTGCCCTTGAGGGGTGCTTGTTTCAAATCTAGAGTTTTCTGAAACAGACGCCCCATACTCCCCGTTATAGGGCTCCTACTTCATCAGAAGAACCAGCGTATCCTCCAGCCAGGTTTCTTGCAGCCGAAGAATCCTTGAGGCTGCTTGGGAAAGTGCTCTCATGGTACTGTTAGCGAGTGGGCGATGCCCCCTGTTCTGCTCTCATCCAGCATACCACAAGGCCTCGCAGAGGGCCTGAATGGAGAAATGGCGCCCTTGACTCCATTGAACTGGGACGAAAAGAACACCTCCCGCCTGAGATTCGCACTGCCAGCTGCCGCAGGTGGGCAGCCCCACGCATCTGAGGACTTTGAGGTCAAAGATGAAGTGAGGCTGTGCCGCTCTGGGTCTCTCAACGCTCAGCTTAGCAAGCATGATCAGCCGATCGGACCTGCACTTTGGAGACCCTGCTATTAATTCATTTGCTAGGCAGATGCTTAGAACCCTGACGATTTTGTCAATGATTTGGTTTTGTGGACACTCTGGTTCCCAATGGGCACTGCCAGTGGCTCCCAATGGGCCAGACAGTCTGTATAGGAGGTGGTTGTAAGTTGCTGGCTACGAGTGCCGGCATGCCACAGCCTCTTATTTTGAGCAGCCCCCAGGGCTCCACCCACTGCACGCTGCAACAGCACAGTGCGGAGCATAATCTGCCAATATGCTTTAAGGGCGCGGCTTTAGAAACTACAGCCGTGCCTGAATTCAATATCCGAATTGCAAATTCTGCAATTCCTTCGGTCTTGCCAGGTTCCAGTCGAACACACTGTTTCGCTAGTGGTTTAGGGACAACATGATGCCAGCAGTGCCAGCATGGGGCAGGGAAGTTTGTCCAAGGAGGCGTGCCCTTCGTCAGAGGATGAGGCAGTTCTCGGAATTGGGCAGGTGCTGCAGGTTTGCGACGAGCTTGGCATCGAGACAGCACCTGCCGAGGCAAGAATGAGAGCCATCCGTCTGCGTCAATCTGCTTTTATCATGTTGCCAGGTTGCCGCAGGCCTGTTCATCGTACCGATGCAGTCCTGGCGCCCCGCTGCTAACAGACATGTGAACACGGTGCACTTTACAGGTGTGAACAGGGGCGGCTGCAGCAACTAGCAGTCGAACCGCACGTGCTGCAAGCTCCAGAGCCCTTGGTAGACTGCCTACTAGGTGGAGGCTACAAGTCAAGGTAGCGGGAAGCTATGTCACAGATGGAGAAGGGCAGTCCGTGGCGTGTTCATGGCGTCAGCACTGTCCTTTACCTCTACGAGCCTTTGGCAAGCCTGCAGTGGCAAGCATTGTGTTGTTAGAAGACGGGAGTGCGTGTTCAAAGCTGAACATCTACGAATCTACGACTGCGCCTCACGGCTTCTGATGGTGACGTACATATGATGGCACAAACGGGAGTCAATCGTCATCATTCGTCATTTATTGCGGTTCAAGGTACTCCAGAGATTTCATCTCCAAAGCACTGCGCCAGCAGCATGCATCAGCTACGGACGCGGATGCCAAGGCTCAGATTTGCCCGGATCTGTGTCACGCACGGAGACGTGCGTGATGTGCCGGCGCAGGTGACCATCGATCAGTGGATCCAATGGCCTTTTCCTTGCGGCTCTGATGACGCCTGGAAGTTCTTCATGAGGAGAGTGGCGCATCGTGGCGCGCGCGCGCGGGCGGGGGGGAGAGAGTGGCGCCGGTGTACGGGATGCGGCAAGCGAGGATGAACGAGGCGGCTCTCCGGGCCACCCTTGTGGCGAAGACGGCCTTCGAGCGCCGAGGGCCCAGATCGGAGCATCTCAGCACGTCTCAGCACGTGGCCGGGCAACTCAGGGCCTAACTGAGCCGTATGACGTCCGGTGTGATTCAAATTGCCTCAACATGAGAACTGGGTTTGAAAGAATATCCCTCTGCGAACTGCCAGAATTTCCCTACAGAACAGCGGGCAGGGCTTCGACAGAAGGCCGAAAGACGACCTGACAATATTCACATCGGCATTGCTATTCCCAATCAAAAGAATCAACCTGTCACTGCTATGCCGCGGCTGACCTGTGTTTCCCTCCAGGATTCTGCGACCAGCCGGCCCAGGTGATGACTATGCCCGGCTCCTAATTCGTGCCACTGCGTTGGGGCTGCATGGAGAAACCATAAATCCCGTGGAGAAAGATGCACCATCTTAGGACGCACTTCCTGACCAGACCAGAACTGTCTTTTGCCCGGGGCCCGGATCGTAGACAACTTAAATTTGTGCGTCGAAGCAGAGTGTTTCTTTTCAACGCGGGCGGTTGAACCCGGATGGCTGAAAGGGAGCCTTTGATTTCAGACCCTCATGCGAGGATTGGACAATTCCGGGGATTTGGGACCACATCGGCTGTGAAGGACTGGACGAGCAGGTGGGACGTTGATTGAGCTCCCAAGTCAGCTTTTCGGGGGTCCATCGTGTGGGTGCAAGATTCGAACGATCGGATCGGATGTCCACGTCTACGGCCTGGGCCTCAGCGCCAGGACTCGACTTTGCCGTGCCACTGCTCACTCAATCATACTCAATCTCACTCAAACTCTAAACACTTTCAAGCCGAAGCTGTTCCTCCCTGCAGCCCCAAGTTCCGGAGTGAGTTGCAGACAGGCCGTGCCTGCACCGGCCCGCAGGCCTGTGGATGCCGGGAGTTTGGTTTGGCCGGGGAGGAAGAGCAGCATACTCTAGACTCTAGACTCTAAGCAGAGTGTCTTGGCTTGTCATGCTGTCCTTTATTCTTTATTTCTGACTGGTATGATTTAGTTATGTATGCATGCATGGATTGTTGGATGGAGGGAGGGAGGGAGGGAGGGAGGGACATATGAATCGTCACAAGTATGTATGCCAACATGCATGTATGCATCTGCACGGGGCGTTTTTGATCTCCTTTGAGCGCTCTTCTGGAGCAGGTTCAGGAGATCGATGGTCGGGACCCCTGGAGTACTTGCCGAAAAGACTGAAAAGTTGCAGCGCATCCCTGTGGGGCTAAAAGAACGCTGAGGCCTGAGCTATGTCCACAACTACATAGGCTCAACCGAGAAGCCGGTGCCTCAGTCAGCTCAAGTGAGAGATGCTCCAAAGTGGTTCATGGGATTTCGTGTAGGCACCGTCCTGGAATGGCACCCTTTTGCATCTTCGACCGTGGGGAGGTGCCGATTCTTGCGTGGCTGCATGAGGGACGCTTTGCAGTCGCAACGTTCGGTGCGCACGTTTGGGTGCAAGCACCATGGCCGTCAGATCCTTCCCACCACGCAGCCGTCGCAAGCCAACGGCTTCAACTTCCAGCCCAGTGCGCGCCCGCAGGACTTCATGAAGTAGCTCGCACCTAAGGCCTAGGGCCCAACAGAGCAAGATGGGGAACTAGAGACCCAGGGCCCCAGCTTCAGATCTGCTTTCCCGCCCTCTGTTTCCAAGCTTGTCTGGCGCACTCCACAGTCCACAACACTATACGTACCTTGCGAGTACCTCGCAGGAAGCCGGGACACTCTCCGACAGCACAGGGGCGCAAGAACCGTCAAATGAGAACATCACAGCTTCGGCGAGTTCTTTGTTCTTGCTTGCCTTCGCGTTTATCGGGCAAAGCACCTGTCTTAAGCCCGCCAGCATGGACTTTGTAAATGCTTCTCCTAATCCTACTGCGGTGAGGATCCTGCGCCGAGAAGGGCCTTCGGCGGAGGCTGAGGATAAGCACAGGCGCGGCAGTATTGTTGTCTAGCTCTTATCTTTTTTCGATGTTGGTGGCAGGCTTGCCTTCTCATGGGCCCTTTCCTAACACACAGCAGTGTACTTGTTCTAGACCAGACTTCCAGCTGTCCGAGCTACTTCACTCTTGCTCCTGCGGTGGCCGTAATGGTTTGGGCTGCTGCAGTGGGTGTGGAGGGGGTTGTGGTATTGTCGAGGAGGCATAGGAGCCGAAGGCAGGTGAGTGGGTGTCCGAGGATTATCGTCCTTGCAAAGGCATCAGCCGAGGATGTCTAGTGTTTAAATAGTTTTGCAGAGCGAAGCTTCGAACAGGTTTCATCGTTCGTCATTTTGTGTCCATCATGCGCACAGAGACTGGCTGAAAAGTGATAAGCTGGTCAAGAACGTGTAGTCAGTTCTGTATGTGAACATGCCTTCGACATGAACGGCATTTGCAAGAAAATTGACACATGCTTTCTTGCATTGCGCACCATGCGATTAAACATCGTAACCGGCAGGCTCTTGTTGAGTTGTGCCAGGCAGCTGATCATCCGCTGGCTGCAGCTGCGGAAGTTGTGACGAAGCGAACAGGCTACAGCATCGCTTCTTTCAGGTAGCAGCTTTGTGCCAATCGCACGCCATGGTTGTCCACGCATGTCCCAAAAACACCCTCACTTCTAAAGAGCTACCGGCGCTTTGCCTGCAAGAGGATCTTTATCTTCAGCTTCTGAGAATTCGCAGCTGAGCCGGCCGCACTGTGACGGGACACGTCGGAAGCCGGAAGCCGAAATCTGTTTGGCATCGAGAAAGCTCGTCGACTGAACGTATATGCATCTGGCACAAATGGTGATGTATGCGTCTGTGCTTTATTGCTCTGCATACTTTCAGCTTCTTGGTGTTTAGGCAAGTGCGCATCTGCGAAAGGCAGTGATCGTAGGTCTAGTCTAGCTGACAGGAAGTGTGGCAACGAGAGCGCCACGCTCTCCCTGAATGCTGTGGCTAGTGCATTGGCATGCTGGTGCGACGTGAACCTGCCGCACTTTGCACCTTTTTCCAAGCCGGCTGTAAGCCGGCTGCGGTGCGGCCGTGCCGAAGCTTGCCGACGCATCTGTTTGCTAAAAGGGATGTCAGGCGGATTCCTGTGGCATTTTGGCATGATGCTTGACCGAGCCACAGGGCAACCAGATGGCAAGGCGATGGGTCCAATTTGGCCCAAATGCAATGAATGTTGTTGCTTCGTTCCTCGAAGCGTCGGTGAAGACGTTAGCTGCAAGACGAAGGGACTGCATATGCCATGTGCAGCAGATTTGGCATAGGCTCATCAAGCGAGCGAATGAGTTTTACGCTAGTTGCGGTTGATTGGCAGTTCCACAGGTGCAATCAGCTGCAGCAAGTCGTGCCAACAGTCGTACAGGCCGGGAAACGCATCACAGCGCCTGTTGTTAAGAGCATCTGCTCTGTTCATACACATGTAGGTGTAATCGCATTTCAAGCGACGCCTGCAAAGGTACTCGGATGGATTTTGATTTTGAGCCTTCTAGAGCCTCTATTTACCATAAGCATCGGAAGTCAATATGAGCTGCGCTGCTGCAAGCATGGCCGAGAAGAATAGATCCAAAAACAGGCAAGAAATACAAGCACGCAGCCACCACCAGCTGTAGCTGTGTATCTCTGCTGCCAACTGCCATGCCCATGGCGCTTAGATACGCAGCTCCGGTCTCAGAAGCGACCCCACCAGCTGCCTACTGTACAAGGTTTTCAAGTATGGGCCCCTAATATGGGCCCTTCGCCCTTTCTAGGGAACCTTAAAGGGCACATTTGGGGTATGGAGATGTATGGAGTAGGTCCCAGGGTTCCTGAACCCCAAAAAAAAACCCTTAAACCCTAAAACCCTAAGGCCCTAAAACCCTAAAGCCCTAAAGCCCTAAACCCTAAAACCCAAAACCCTAAACCCCACGGTTTCAGCCTTAGATACGGGCTTCGGTGCTTGGATTTCCCCTGTGAGGCTCTGGGCCTTGGCAAGGCCATGGCCCTGGAAGTGCGATCCGAAGAATCCAAAGCATCCAATATTTTTATTTTTGGGGAGTTCCTTATGATTCCTTGTTATAGTTATAATGTAATCCTTGTTATAGTTATGATATAATCCTTATTAGAGTTATCATATAATCCTTATTATTGTTATACTATAGTCCTTATTATAGTTATAATATACATCCTTATTATAGTTATAATATAATCCTTATTATAGTTGTAGTTATAATATATTGGGCCCCAGAACCCTGATTTCGACACTTCGCAGGCGGCTCTTAGCCTGGCCTCCTGCTCGGGGACTTCGCACATCCCGGGAGAGACCTGGCAGGCCTGGGGCGCTTGCTTAGGGTTTCGAGGGTTTAGGGTTTCGGGTTTAGGGTTTAGGGTTTAGGGGTTAGGGGTTAGGGGTTTAGGGGTTTCGAGGTTTAGGGTTTTAGGGGTTTAGGGCGCATCCCGGCGGGCGTCTAGGCTAGCAGTCTGGCTCGCAGGCTGCGCTGTCGCTGTCGAGGAGTGCGGAGCAGCTGCAGCCCAGATCCCAGCTGTGCAAGCAACATCAAGCAACTATCTGTCTGTCTGTCTCTTTTTCTCTCTCTATCCATCCAGCCATCCATCCAGCCATCCATCCATCTATCGATCTATCTATCTATCTAGCCATCTATCTACCTATCTATCTATCTATCTATCTATCCATCCATCCATCCATCCATCCATCCATCCATCCATCCATCCATCCATCCATCCATCCATCTGTCTATCTACGATCTACTTCTCGCTTCTATCGCTTTGTATTTCGTTTTCAGGGGCGCGTTTGGGTCGGGCTTTGAGGTTCAGTGCCGGCACCTGGTCCGAGTGGAGCAAGGCCTGGCGACCCCTGGCCATGGAGGCCTTGATTGCAGGAAACTGGTGACCACGACTTTTATGAAAAATATGTGTGTCACATGTTTGCTTTTCTATGGAAAATCAACTCAGAGATTCATAAAGTGGCCGGGGTTCAAGGTTTGGGAAAACGCTGTGTGGTTGAGGTTGGCATGAGGTTGACATGCGGTGGCCCCGCGTGTGTTCGTGCGTGTGTGTGTGTGTGGGTGGTTGCGGGATGCAGGCTTGTTCGCTCAGCTGTGCGGAGGGGCGAGTAGGCGACAGGACAAAGCCGAAACTCCCGAGCTCAAACCCTCATAGCCCACAAGGCTCCTGTGCAAGTAGAGGCGACACAAACAAACCCTCATGCAATGGATAGTCTAGGCTTGTTTCGGGATCGGAAAATCATCGCTTCTGGCCAAGTGGCGCAAGTGCTGTAAGCCTCGTGCGAATCTGGCAAGTAGACCGACGACGGGATGCACTATTTTGCAGCTCAGCTTATGTGTTTCTATTTTAGAGGAGGTCTGCAGTACATGCAGTCAAAGTAGCCATTCGTGGCAGAAAACCAAGAGGAGTCATGTGCTTCCTGTGTGAGGTGGTAAGCGACTTTGACGGGAGTATGGCAGATTGCCCGGAGGCCGGAGCGCCTGGCTACAAATCTTTGAAGATCTTGGCAGTTGTGCACTTCATCCGAGGGCTCGGTGGCGGCTTTAGCGCACGGGCTCCTTGCGGTGGACGAGGCAGGGTCCGACATTGTGTGTAACTTTGGGGCCCATTCTATTATAACTATAATAAAGAACCCCCCAAAATAATATTATATTATAACTATAATAAGGAACCCAAAAAATAATATTATATTATAACTATAATAAGGAACCCAAAAAACATTATTCGCCTTCCTCTCCCTTTGGGATGTCAGGTCGACGGCCATCTCTCCGTGCTCGAGCTCGGCCCTCAAGGGACTCGTGGGTTGACAGGGCAGGGCATGGGAGTTGGGTCTTCCGAAAGATGGGCTCGAAAGACAGGATCATCAAGATGATGCATCACAAGCTCAGTGACCTCCAGCCTCCGCCTCAGCACAGAAGAGTAGCTGCAACAAGCTGCCAAAGCCGGGCCGAATTGGCTGCAGTGGTTCAGGCTTCCAGCATTTCCCCTAGAGCCCAGCGCTTGGTGTCTACTCCTTACACGTCAGTGGCAGTGGCATCGGCTCGTTCCAGGCCCGCCGAATGGCAGCAGCACTGGCTGATGGTGGTCTCCTCCATGTCCTCGATGGCATGTGAACGAGGGATGGTCCTGTTTGTCTTCAGATCCGTCTTTTGCCGAAGCATGGCAGGTTGCGGTTCATGTATCTCAAGCTCCGTCCTGAGCCGATCCTGTCGTGGAACCGACTGCAGGGTCGGATTGTGAGAGGTGGGTGAACATGCCCCACGACAATGACTTCGCAGACGCGAACCAGGCGGCAACTCCTTTGAGCTCTGCCCGTGCGAAGCCTGGACGCCCAGGAAGACTCCTTGAGTCCTGCAGTCCTCCGGCCGTGAGCTGCTTAGTGGAAGTTTCGATTTGGAACGCAGTGACTTTTTCAGAATTGTTAGCTACAGCCTCTGATTTGTCTGATTGAACATGCAGCACCATTGGGCAGTCAAAGGGTCCTTGCTTGCTGGTCAAAGCCGGCCTGGTGCAGCCGTTCTCTACCTTTAGCCTTGCGCAGTTACCGGTTACGTGCCTGACCGACGTGAGGCATCACGACTTCCTGTTCAGGACCCGTGCACGGGAAGTTCCGGCTAGCAGGATGTATGCATCCCTCAAGCAGTACCATGATGATTGACATTGCTTTAGTCAGGGTTCCTACCATGTGGGTAGTTCTCTAAATTAGGGTCCCTTTTCGGGTCCATTTTATCTATATTAGGGACCTAAAATGGGACCCTAATTTAGAGAACTACCCATGTATGTCACCTGGCTGAGCAGCAATGTGACGGGGCTCGCATGCGGCAGTGGCTCACGGTCTTGCAGGAACTTCGTGGACAAGTTCGTGGCCAGTGGCGTGCGCGCACACCTTCGTTTCTGCATCCGTCAATGTTGAAGTCCAGAGAGTCCAGGACATGCTAAGTGAAGAACGACATCCCTTTGAAGACGTGCTTTTATCTCTCCATCACAATCACAGTACTCGTAGTGGTGCGAAGGATAACCTAGACTTATCTCACACTTGGCCCAGATGTTGACAACCACACCAGCTTCTTCATTTTACCAGTCATCCTTTGCGTGGACCCCGGTACCATGCGATGGCGTCGAAGTCTGCTGCTGTCGTCGGTATCGTCGGCGGTGGCATGGCCGGCGTCGCTGCTGCACGGGTCCTAAGCAGTACAGGACGAAGCTCGAGTCTCGAGATCTCCCTCGATCTCCCTCGCCTCTCGACCATTCTCGACCCCTCGGCCTGGTCCCACAGCCTGCCCGCCCCTTGGAAGAGTCTCGGTGCGTCTCTACGAGCGCGAGTCTGCTTTGGGGGGGCGCCTGGGTGCCGCGCGTCTGGCGGAGCACTGGGTCGGCCTCGGCACGACCTACGTCAAGGCGAAGGACCCACTCTTCAAGGCCGCCGTCCGGAAAAATGAGGACTGTCAGATTACGATGATCTCCCTGTGGCAGGCAGAGATGGCGAAGTGGGAAGAGCTGGGTCTCGCTTCTGAGTGGATCGTAGGCACGCCACACTTTATAGCCGCTTGAACGCACTCTTCTCCACAAGATGTCGTAGGCACACTCAGGTGCTTCTGGCACGTCCCTGCTACCGACCAAGGAAGCTCCAGGAGGCTTCAGCGAGAGGCCGGAGCTCAAAGCCCCTACGGACCGCTGGCACGTGGGTCGGCCCAGCATGGAAAGCTTGGTGGAGCTCTCCCCAGAGGACGCCTCAACATGTCTTGCTGGGATCCTCTGGGTTCACAGGGCCATGGGGCCCAGAGCCCAGAGTTTGAGTGTGGAGGATTCCAAGAGGTCCCCAGATGCAGATTGGCCCTTGAGAGGTATAGACAGGCTGGCCACTCTCGTACAGTAGTCGCAACTGGCACCATCGGGTGGAGGAGCTGAAGCACATTACTCGCTGTGGCGAAGTAGCTTCCGTCAGCTGGGAAGAGGAGCTCGAGCTTTGGCCCGAACGGTTCACACTTGGGCTATGAGGTTGGCAGCTCTTGAACTCATGGCAGATAGCAGGTGCCTAACTCGCCACGAGCATTCAGTGACAGCGCACATTGGTTGGTGATCTGTGAGGGAAGTTGGCTGGCCCTTTCGGCGTGGGTTATGCGCTACAGTTAGACATTTCGGTAAGGAAACGTGGTTGCTGAACGGAAGTGATTCCGTTTCAGCGCTGATCCTGGCCCTGCCGTTGGCTCCGCTGCGATCCTTACTGCCGGCGGGACTGAACCGAAACCATTTCACTTCTCCCTTGCATGATGCCTTCGTGGCACAGGTGGGGACGATCGAAGCCATGTTACCGGCAGACCTACTGGAGAAGGATTTTGAAAAGGCCCAGCGGCCCAGCAACTATTCTGTGCAACTTTATCAGTCATGACTCCTTGCAATCATCACGCCCCGCCATGCTGCATGACTGGGGGAGCGGACTTAGTGCTTGTGAATGTGCAGTTTAGCTGACACCAGCAGGCGCGGGTCGCTGCCGATGCTGGGCTGCAGATGGATTTCCGTTTGGGCAGGCAGTGACACAGCAAGCAATGCTCGAGACATCAGAGAAGTGATGGTGGAAAGCAGTTACACATTGGTCCGCCGTTGCTGAGGCTTGGGTCTTCGCAGCACCACTGGAGCTTCCGTTCAGGATAGCTTTCGTTCCTCGGTCTGCGTGGATATTGGCGGGTTCTGATCATGAATTGATGCAGCGGTGCAGTGATGATGGTGGCAGGACCATGCGAGCGAGTTTCGTAACCGTCTTTGCATGCGAATCACAGTGAGGTCAAGGACTCTCCCATCTCGCTCGTCCTGAACGACTCCTCGCGGCTTCAACAAGGCAGTGAGAAGGCCAGGTTTAAGCCAACCCGGCAGGTGCCACCCGAACCAGAATCTAACTCCCTCACAGAGGCCGAGGTGTGGGTGGTGCAGACCACAACAGAGTGGGCAGCCCAATACATCAAGGAGGCGATGCCCGAAGCAGAGGCGCGCTCCCAGCTGTCACTGTCTACCTCTTGAAAGCCACTTCAGCATGATGCTCGGAATTTTGTTCAGCTGCCGTTGGAGGTTTGTGCGGTGTTGCTCCGTGAATTTGCTCGAATCCTTGGGAAAGATCTACCTGCAGTGCAGCAGCAGAAGGTCGGAGCCTGAGCTCGCTCCGACGGAAATACAGTCGTGCCCTCCGAGACCCTCCAGTTGGGAGGCCTTGACCTGGGTCTATGGCGACATGGACTACAAGCTTGTCGAGGGCCATGCATGGGATGCGAAGAGGCGACTGGCTTTGGCCGGGGACTGGTGCTACAACGGACGCGTTGAAGGAGCCTGGCTGAGCGGGCATCATGCTGCCAAGAGAGTGTTGCAGGCCCTTGAGCTGTAAGCTCTACGAGCTGCGATAGCTCATCCTGGTGGGTCCACAAGAGTTCCACCTAGTTGCCGATGGACAAAGCTCCATCGACGGATGGATTAAGCAGACAGGGCGGTACCTTGGTAATGCACAGGTTGCCCATGAGCTGCGAGAAAGGCGACATCAGCGTCGGAACAGGGGTTTTTGTTTCTTTTTTTTTCGTGGCTGTGCACTCTGCCTGGAAGTAGATGGTAATTCAACAGGTATATGACCTGAGCATCACCGAGAACACCGTTCTCTACTCCGAGGCTGGTGTTGTTCTTCATAGCAGGGATGGGGTGCCCTCCTGGCTCCTGGATGCCGTGTAAATCGGACTCCAGTGGGTTTCAAGCATCTTTCCTCAGATTGATGCTTGCTCGCCTGCCCTCCCATCGGTCAGATCTTCGGGAGGCTTGAGGACGGTCCTTGCAAAGTGAAGCCATGCCGTTGCAGAGGAGGCAATCTTCGTTCAATATTTCGAAACCTGGGTCCCCGACTGCCCCCTGCCCCAAAGGATGCAGGCCCCCCTCTCCAGAATTAGGCACATGTCCGCGGCCATCCGCTTGGGGCCGCCTCGGAGTTTGAAATTACGGAGGGGACTTGGATTCTGCAATGACGGGGGGAATTCTAAGCATGAGGTTCTCATTGGGGGTCGGAGGCTTGAGCCAGAGGTTTGGAAGCGATGCAGCCCCGTCTCAACAACAGCGACTGAAGTACAGCGAGAAATAACAAGAGCCAAGTCAACAAGGTGGTGCTGATACCGATACTCATTACTGAGCATGTATAAGGCATCACCGTGACCACCTTCCAAGTACTGCATGAGACAGGTACACGGCTTTCTTAAACTGGAGGCACCTTCAGCCAAAGCATTGCAGGACTCTTCAGAAACGGCCATGCCGCATTAAGTACTGTGACATAGTTTTCCCCCCGCTTCTTCCTCGAAAAAGATTTAAGCAGATCGCTGGACAAATAGGTCGAGCAGTCTAGCACACAAGAAGTTCGCTGATGCATGGTTGTTCGAGGCCGCATGTCCAGAAATCTTGAGACGCAGGCCTTTGCCTTCCTGGCGTTCTGCCACCTGCATCAGGCGCCGGCATGTGGGGCGTTTGAGAGCAGAGCTCGCAGCTCGCTTTTGTTTGCAGATTCGCCGGGTGTCAGGTCGATTTCATTGCAGAGTCCGGAGTTTACAAGGGTGTGCAGAGCTTAGCCATCCACCAGAAGCACCTGCAGCCATCATGGCACTTCTTGCAGATGCACTGCTCCGCAGGTTTCCACAGAGATCTGGAGCCTGTTCGCCAAGGCACCATGCTTCCTTCGGCACCCAAGGCAGTCGAAACTTGGGCTCGCTGCACGCGTCAGGAGGTGGCGGCTGTTGATATCTTCTTGACACCAGAGGTGGGAGCTTCATGTTTTGGCAGGTGATGAAGTTCCTGACGGCTTCGTATGTAGTGCAGCTCTTGTTGGGATGCACTGCAACCACAGAGGTAAAGTTTAAGGCAAGGTGCTAGAGGAACGATGTTCGAGCAAGTCAGGCTGAAGAGCGACTTCAGCGACGAAGCAACGTGGAGCTCCACACAGGAAGTGGGTGGGCAAGACCTAAGTGAGACCTTCTGGAAAACACTTTCCATCCAAATCAAAAATACCTCAATAGACTAATAATGATAATAATACTAATAGTAATAATAAAAATAAAAATAATAATAATAATAAAAAATAATAATAATGCTGTAGCATGGAGTGCTCCTTCGCTGCCGCGAGCCTCAGCCAGGGTCTGCCTTCGAGCTGTTTCGTTTGGGCGATGGGCGCGGTCTTCGCGTGTGACTCGTGTTTTGTGAGGAGAAAGGCGGCTGACGACTATGTGTGCAACGACATGGCCTTGAGAGATAACATCGAACTCTCACCGGTCAAGAAGAACATTGACGCGAATCAACTGCAGCTTTTACCCAAATTTACCAGAGTTGCCATCATACTGACCCGATCCAGCTTCTTCTCAAGTGGGCAATAGGCAGACACCCTGGCAATCCCTGGCACATATCGCTTCGCTGGTGATTTTTGTGGACTGTCGCCTTGCGGCGTGTAGATTCTTGCGCATTGCCGTATTCTTCCGTTGCGCGGAGTCTGCCAATGAGCAGGACAGTTCTCCTCGGCTGGCCTCCAAGCCCACACCAGCCATGTAGCCGACAGCCAAGGGAAAGGTTGACAAATCTCTTGAGCAGGATTTTGATCTGGGTGGCAGGAGCACCCTACCATGTTTGACATACCACGTCAAAAGCAGGTGACTTTTGTAAATGTGCCACCGACATTGTAGAGCGTCGAGAATCCTCTCCGAAGCGAGGTTCGGCTCAGTGCGCGAGCACTGCTGGACTTGCGCCAGCAGAAGAAATTGCCGAAGAGCAAAACGAGAATAAATTGCCAGCAGATCTTTTGCAGCCGAGCCTGTGACAGTGCTTCACTTGGTGCTGCATGTCTCCGTGGATGTCAGGAGATGGCCGCACGCTGCTGTTCCCATCTCAGCGTCGCAACGGAGATTCTAAGCTAGGTGAGTGAGGCAGAGAACGAAGAGGACGACGTCGTCTGAAGCGTGTTTAGCAACACGCTTCAGTGGCCTTTGGTCTGCCAACATGCCTTACCCTGCCACATTGACATGGCTTGCGGTGGTTGCATGTGTCATCCAGGCTCTAGATCTTGGCTTGCCATCTTGATGGAAAGGAGTAAGTAAACACATCAAGCTTGCCGCTGCTTTGTACAGCCAAAACAGCTGCTTGCTGAGGTCACTAAGCCTCAACCCTACCTTGAGTTGAGTTCACAACCTGAGGGTTTGTCAGGTACCGTTCCATACATGATCTCGTCCATACCCTCAACTCAAACCCCAAACCCTAAAACCTAAACCCTAAACCCTAAACCCTCAGCCGCCTAAACCCTTGACTCGCAAAAGGCCTCAGCTCCTCAGCCGACCAGGCCGCAGGGCGGCAGCCGGGGCCAAAGCGAGTAGTGGTTGCACCCGTGTCCCTGGCCTTGGGAATCATGTTTCATTCTCAATGTACTATTACGAGGCTAGGGCCTAGGCCTAGGCGCTTCCATAGGTGCCACAGGATCGGTGCGCGTCTTGTTGGTGCCACCACTGTAACAGGTGTCGGCAAGCTGGAGCTACTTTGTCAAGCTTGGGTTTGCTGCTTTCTGCAGGAAACTGAACCTTCTCAGAGGTTGAGTGTTGCAGCCTTTTCGTACTGGTAGCTTCAGGTCTTCATTGATGGGCCCAAAGGGGAGCTTGCCATCCACCTGGCGCTGAGCTTGATCAAGTTACCACAGGCGGGCGTCAGGAATGAGTGGCATCTAGTTAATCATGAATTGCAAGGGAACTCTTGGTCAAAGGTCGTTGGAGTCCCGTGCAGCAACATCCAAAAAGTTGGCTTCACTTCCCCGGAATGCCCCGGAGCTTTGGTAATTGGGTCTTTTCGCTAGAGTCGCAGAGACTCACGTACCACACTTAACTCGGCTTTTTCCATGAGGTCACCTAGATGATGAGAACTCAATTGTCAGGTCGCCTTTGTGGCCATGCATGACATGGAGCCGTACAAGCGTGCACCGGCCACGGCTTTCGGAACTGTGCTGTGGATCAGCCCTGCAAGACAGCATGCAAGCCACCTCTCTGAAACCCCAATCGGCCCCTTGCACCACCTCACCACAGAAGCCTCTAATAGAATCCTAAACGACCGGAGCCTAAAGCTCCCAAGATCTTGAAAGCCCTGCCAGGTCGCCTCCGCGAGCTAGGAGCCTTCTTCTTCTCAGATGAGCCCTGGTTCAAGGATGCCTGGGGGGGGGGTGTTCGGGGAAGTCTGAGCATCACAAGTCTGCTGGAGCCCGGCTTTGGGGGCATGGAGTCAGGAAGAGGCTCAAACTGCTGAAAGTACATCTCGTGCTGCAACGCTTATTCAAGATTCAGTTGCGAATTCCTGATGATCCACTGAGCCCAATCCTCAAAGCCGCTCCCGCCAAGTTCTGCAATCAGGAGGCATATGGACACCTCGACGAGCCCTTCCGAAGACGTCCGGACCTGCTTGCGGGTGGTCGGGCACTCAAGATTTATGCCGCATACCTGTTCGGAGGAGGTTCCTAGTCATTGCTTGGAACGGCATCCAAGGGACCATGGCTTTCATCACAACAGATGCGAAGAAATGAAAAAGATCTGACAGGCTGTTGCATTATAGACAGCAGACTGGAAGATGATTTTAAACGCTTCGCGTTGTCCGCCTCGGCCCGGCTGCACTTGAAGCATGTGCGTAGTGTCGGAAAGCAAGAGGCAGGTCACACACGCGAGGTCGTGAGTAGTGTCGTGAGTGAATGACTGCGTTTGCTTCAGAATGTTTATTGTAATATTTGTGTTAAAGCTGAGGCTGTGAACTCCCACGCGAAAGGTGGCACATTCCCCACATGCAACAACACATAGACGCTATGATCCGATTTTAAAATATCGCGAAATATATGGGACAATCAAATTTTACAACAAAATACAAGACACAACCATAGAAATATAATTCTTTGGCATCGAATTCATAGAAGATACTAGCCCCATATTGACCTGACCGTCAAATTTAAAGAAAAGGAGAGAAAAAAAGAAAGAATGGGGCTGGGCGGGGTAGAGAAGAGAGATTCTTATATCAGATATTTATATTTCAAATTATTTCATTTGATGATATATATTTCGATAATATAATTAAAGTATTTTTATATATAATTTATTTCATTCGTATCGTTGATTCTAAATCTATTTTTTTGGATTACGTTCTGAATTCGTATAGGAATAGAATTATTTTTTATTGATATAAATAATTAAATTATTTTTTATTCTTTTTTATGAGCGGTACATTAATAGAATTATTTATTATCGAAGAGGATGATAAATAAATTATAAGCTTCATATTAGAAATGATTCGAGACATATGATATCGCATGCTTAGGCGCAAATACATATTTGTTGTATCTCTATATTTTAA